CTGTTGCCCGGGCTGGAGTGCAAGGGCACAATATCAGCTCACTGCAACCTCCGCCTCCCGGGTTTAAGTGATTCTCCTGCTTCAGCCTCCTGAGTAGCTGGGATTACAGGCACCTACCACCATATTTGGCTAATTTTTCTATTTTTAGTAGAGATGGGGTTTTACCATGTTGGCCAGGCTGGTTTCAAACTCCTGACCTCAGGCAGTTCCTCTCTCAGCCACCTGAAGTGCTGGGATTATAGGCATGAGCCACTGCACTGGCCTAATTATATTGTTATACTATTCTGTGTACTTAACTATTACCAGTTAGTTTTGTACTTTCAGATGGTTTCTTATTGCTCATTAACATCCTTTTCTTTTAGGTTGAAGAACTCTCTAGCATTTCTTGTAGGATAGGTCTGGTGTTGATGAAATCTCTTAGGATTTGTTTTTCTGGGAAAGTCTTTATCCTTCATGTTTGAAGGATATTTTTGCCGGATATACTATTCTAGGGTAAAAGTTTTTTCCTTGAGCACTTTAAATATGTCATGCCGTTCTCTCCTGGCCTCTGAGGTTTCCACTGAAAAGTCTGCTTCCAGACATATTGGCACTGCTTTGTAAGTTATTTGTTTCTTTTCTCTTGCTCCTTTTCAGATTTTTTTTTTCTTTATCCTTGACCTTTGGGGGTTTAATTAATAAATATCTTGAGGTGGTCTTATTTGGGTTAAATCTGCTTGGTCTTCTATAACCTTCTTGTACTTGAACATTGATATCTTTCTCTAGGTTTGGGAAGTTCTCATATTTATCCCTTTGAATAAACTTTCTACCCCTATCTCTTTCTCTGCCTCCTCATTAAGGCCAGTAACTCCTAGATTTTCCCTTTTATATATACATAGAGAGGGATGAGGGTCTCATTTTGTTGCCCTTTTATATATACATAGAGAGGGATGAGGGTCTCATTTTGTTGCCCTTTTATATATATAGAGAGAGATGGTGGTCTCCCAGGCTGGTCTTCAACTCTTGACCTCAAGCCATCCTCCCACCTTGGCCTCCCAGTGTTGAGATTACAGGTGTAAGCCACCACACCTGGCCAGATTTGCCCTTTGATGCCATTTTCTAGATCTTGTAGGCACGCTTCATTTTTTTTTTTTTTTTAGATAGAGTCTTGCTCTGTTGCCCCGGCTGGAGTGCAGTGGCATGATCTCAGCTCACTGCAGCCTCCCTCTCCTGGGTTCTAGTGATTCTCATGCCTCAGCCTCCCATGTACCAGCTAATTTTGTATTTTTAGTAGAGATGAGGTTTCCGTATGTCCCCCAGGTTGGTCTTGAACTCCTGGCCTCAAGCGATCCACTTACCTTGGCCTTCCAGAGTGCTGGGATTACAGGTGTGAGCCACCACATCCAGCTGCTTCATTCTTTTTCAATCTTTATGCTTTTGTTTCCTCTGACAGCATATTTTCCAAACAGCCTGTCTTCAGGTTCACTAATTCTTTCTTCTGCTTGATTAGTACTGCTGGTGAGAGACACTGGTTCGTTCTTCAGTATGTCAACTGCATTTTTAAACTCTACAACGTCTGCTTGATTCTTTTTTTGTTTTTGTTTGCTTGTTTTTTTGTAGAGACAGGCTCTCACTATGTTTCCCATGCTGGTCTCGAACTCCTGGGCTCAAGCACACATCCCACTTCAGTCTCCCAAAGTGTTGCTTGGGGTTAGGGGAGGGGTGACTCCAGGCCTTGGCTGCCCCAGCTGGTATCTCTTTAGGTCACATGGACATGAAGTCCAGTGGCTCTGAACCCAGTACAGAACCAGGACTTGCCCTGGGATTGCAGTCCTTGTGGCCTAGACTGCTTTTCAAGTTTATTTAGGACCCCAGCACACTTTAGTCTACAGTGGCAAGGTTTGTCAGAACTCATGTAGCGACTGCTGAGATGGGCAATTCCCCTCCGGCTAGGGCTGGTCTAAATGCTCCCTCCCTAAGTTCGACCTGAGTTCTGCCTGGTATTGCTTTCTGCTGCGACAGGGCAGCACTGAATTCCAATGCATAGTCCCACAATTACTGCATTCTCCCTCCATGAAGCATACCAATTTTCTCTCTGTGCCAGGCAGCCATTGCTGGGGTTGGGGGATGGACAGCGTTGGCAATTCAAGGCTGTCTTTCCTGCTCTCTTCAGTGCTTTTTGCAGGATACGAAATTGAAACCATGTACTATGATCACTCATCTGAAATTTGGTTCTTATGACGGTGCTTTTTTCGTGTGGATAGTTGTTCAATTTGGTGTTCCTGTGGGGAGGACAAGCTGTGGAGACTTCTATTCGTCCATCTTGCCCTACCTTCTTCCCTCTTTTTTTTTTTGTTCAAATAAAAAGTTTTTGGGCCAGTTGCAGTGACTCACCCTTGTAGTCCCAGCACTTTGGGAGGCTGAGGCAGGTGGATCACTTGAGCCCAGGAGTTTGAGACCAGTTTGGGTAACATGGCAAAACCCTGTCTCTACAAAATTAAAAAAATTAGCTGATGCGGTGATGTGCACCTGTAGTGCCAGCTACTGAGGTGGCTGAGATAGGAAGATCAGTTGAGCCCAGGGAGGTCAAGGCTGTAGGGAGCTGTGATTGCACCACTACACTCCAGCCTGGGCAACAGAGTGAGACCTTGTCTGAAAAAAAATTTTATTGAACAATTTTGAAAATTAAGATAAAATTCGTATTGCATAAAACTTACCATTTTAACCAAAATATATAGTTTAATAGCTTTTAGTAAATGTACAGTGTTAAGCAACCATCACTGTCTAATTCCAGAACTTTTTTTTTTTTTTTTTTTTGAGATAGAGTCTTGCTCTGTTGCCTGGGCTGGAGTGCAGTGGCACGATCTCAGCTCACTGCAACTTCCACCCCCCAGGTTTAAGCACTTCTGTTTCAGCCTCCTGAATAGCTGGGATTACAGGCACCTGCCACCATGCCCAGCTAATTTTTTTGTTTTATTAGAGATGGGGTTTCACCTTTGTTGGTCAGGCTGGTTTCAAATTCCTGACCTCGGGCTATCCATCTGCCTCGGCCTCCCAAAGTTCTGGGATTACAGGTGTGAGCCACAGAACCCAGCCAATTCCAGAGACAGAGTTTCGCTGTTGTTACCCAGACTGGAGTGCAATGGCACGATCTCGGCTCACCGCAACCTCCGCCTCCTGGGTTCAAGCAATTCTCCTGCCTCAGCCTCCCGAGTAGCTGGGACTACAGGCGTACACCACCATGCCCAGCTAATTTTTGTATTTTTAGTAGAGACGGGGTTTCACCTTGTTGACCAGGATGGTCTTGATCTCTTGAACTTGTGATCCACCCGCCTCAGCCTCCCAAAGTGCTGGGATTATAGGCGTGAGCCACCACGCCCGGCCCCTCCAGAACATTTTTATCTCCTTGAAAAGAAATCTTGTCCTCATTAAGTAGTCACTCCCTGTTTCCCTTTCTTCTCAAACCCTAGCAGCCACTATTCTGCTTTCTGTCTCTGTGGTGTCATATATTTTATCATCTTTTGTGTTTCACTTCTCTCAATCAGCATGTTTTCAAGATTTATTCTTGTAGCATATATCAGTACTGCATTTCTTTTTATGGCTTAATAATGTTCCATTGTATGTAAACGGCACATTTTGTTTGTGACTGGCAGTGTAGTAGCTTTGTTTACACCAGCATCACCACAGACTCTGAGTAAATGCATTGTGCTTTGATGTTATGACAGCTATGATGCCACTAGACTGTAGGAATTTCTCTGCTCTGTCAGTAATTTTTTTTTTTCTCGAAAGCCAGTAGCCTCATAGAAGGCTTTGTTATAATCTTATGGGACCAGTGTTGTGAATATGGTCCATCATTGACTGAAATGGCTTATGCAGTGCATGGCTATGATTCCTTTTTTTGTGTGTGTATTCTTTATGTTTTTCCATGTATAAAATCCTATCATTTGTGAATAGTGATAGTTTTACTTTACAATTTGAATGCTCTTTCTTTTTCTTTTCTTTTTTTTTTTTTTTTTTTTTGCCTAATTGATCTGCTAGAACTTTTAGTATAATGTTGAATAGCAATGATGAAAACAGGCATACTTGTCTTGGTCCTGATGTTAGGGGAAAGCTTTCAGACAATCGCTATTAACTACTTAGATCTTCATTATGCACAGATTATGTAATTGTGAATTTGCCTTCTTGGTGAAATTTATTTGTGATGTCAAAATCAAAACTAATACTGCTTTCTTCTTCTTCTTTTCTTTTTCTTTTTTTTTTTTTTTCTTTCTTGAGACAAGATCTCTCTCTCTCTCAGTTGTCTAGGCTGAAGGGTTTTTGTTTTTCTTTCTTTCTTTTGACTCACAGTCTTGCTCTGTCACCCAGGCTGGAGTCAGTGGCATGATCTCGGCTCACTGCAACCTCCACCTCCCAGGTTCAAGTGATTCTTCTGCCTCAGCCTCCAGAGTAGCTGGGACTACAGGTGCCCACCACCACGCATGGCTAATTTTTTTTTAATTTTTAGTAGAGATGGGGTTTTGCCATATTGACCAGGCTGGTCTCAATTTCCTGTCTTCTGATCCACCCATCTCATCCTCCCAAAGTGCTGGGATTACAGACATGAGCCCGTAGGGGTTTTTTTAAGGAAACATAAAAGGAACCCTGAAGTTAAAATTTGTATATTTAATTGACAAATTTGTTGCTTTAACAAGACTTTTTCTTTAAGCGTTTTCACAAGTTTTACAAGGACTTTAAATGTGCTTTTTATAAATAAAGACTAGTGGAAGTTATAAGAAAATTGTAATAATTACTTTTTTAAAGTTGATAAATTATCAAAGCAGAGTGCATTTTAATTTTTAGTGATTATTGCAGAAGGTATTGAGTGAACAGCTTTGTAACTTTCCACAAGAAAGCCGTACTTTAGACAGCTGGAAATAAAACCCTAGATTTTAAGTTTTTTTTATGTAATGGACTATGGTTTTTGGATGTCATCTTTATTATTTTATTTTTCATACCAAATCTAATATTATCTCTTTTGTATTTAGGTTCGGTTGGTGATAGTGGATGGTATTGCTTTTCCATTTCGTCATGACCTAGATGACCTGTCTCTTCGTACTCGGTTATTAAATGGCCTAGCCCAGCAAATGATCAGTCTTGCAAATAATCACAGATTAGCTGTAAGTATTAACTAGTGAAGAGAGTTATACAACAAAGTCAAGACTGTATAAAATGTTAATGTCAAAATGTATAAAATGAAAGGCCGGGCGCGGTGGCTCAAGCCTGTAATCCCAGCACGTTGGGAGGCCGAGGCGGGTGGATCACGAGGTCAAGAGATCGAGACCATCCTGGTCAACATGGTGAAACCCCGTCTCTACTAAAAATACAAAAAATTAGCTGGGCATGGTGCATGGTGGCACGTGTCTGTAATCCCAGCTACTCAGAAGGCTGAGGCAGGAGAATTGCCTGAACCCAGGAGGCGGAGGTTGCGGTGAGCCGAGATCGTGCCATTGCACTCCAGCCTGGGTAGCAAGAGCGAAACTCCGTCTCAAAAAAAAAAAAAAATGTATAAAATGAAATAGCAAAATAGCATTTGCCTGAGTAATAAATAACATAGACATGCAGTTTTGAGTAAAGTTTCTGTTTGGTTTGGTTTCTATTAAAAAATTCTAGTCATAAATGTCAGTTTTTCTTCAAAAAACAAGCGTAATTAATATGTCATTTTAAAAAATGGACTTTGTAGCCGGGCACAGTGGCCCACGCCTGTTATCCCAGCACTTCCAGAGCCAAGGCAGGCAGATCACAAGGTCAGGAGTTGAAGACCAGCCTGGCCAATATGGTGAAACCCTGTGTTTTTACTAAAAATAAAAAATAAAAAAAATTGGCCAGGCATGGTGGCACATGCCTGTAATCCCAGCTACTTGGGAGGCTGAGGCAGGAGAATTGCTTGAACCCAGGAGGCGGAGGTTGCAGTGAGTCAAGATGGCACCATTGCACTCCAGCCTGGGCAACAGAGCAAGACTCCATCTCAAGAAAAAAAAATGAACTTTGTTTGATAAAGAAATCCCACCTTTGTTAATTGCAGTGTCTTCTTTGTTTAAATAAACTTTGGATGTTTTTCAGGTCAACTCTTCCAACACCCTGGTTTTCTTTTACTCTGAGTCTTTGATTATCATGTAATATATAATCACAGATTCAGATGGATTTAAACATTACAAAGTGTAAACAACCTAGATGATTTGAGGTAGAGCTAAATAACTCTTGAAGATTTGAAATGTGAGAAAAGAAGTTAATATAGGCTCAGAAGTGAAGAGAATTTTTTTTTTTTTTGAGACAGAGTCTCACTCTGTCACTCAGGCTGGATTGCAGTGGTTTGTGATCTTGGCAGCTGCAGCCTCCGCCTTCCAGATTCAAGCAGTTCTCTGCCTCAGCCTCCTGAGTAACTGGGATTACAGGCGCTTGCCAAAATGCCCAGCTAATTTTTTTGTATATTTAGTAAAGATGGCATTTCACCATCTTGGCCAGGCTGATCTTGAACTCCTGACCTTGTGTTCCACCGACCTCGGCCTCGCAACGTGCTGGGATTACAGGCATGAGCCACCACGCACTGCCTATATCTATCTATCTATCTATCTATCTATCCATCTATCTATCTATCTATATTTTTTAAGTTTTGCCTTACTCCTTTTTAACTGCCTGTTTACCGTTACTTCTTATTCTGAAACCGCATCTCACCATTGACAGAAATATACACACTTGCCTGGGAGTAAGATGTAAGAAGGTCAGACTGCTTAGCTTGATTTCTTTGTCCTTACCTTAATTAGAGAGACCTTAGCACATGCTTGTAATACATCATAAATAAATAAAGAACTTCCCCAATAAAATCATAACAAATCAGACTTTTTTCTTTGAATTTCCAGATTTTTGCCATATGCTGAAAAGTATAGTGTCCCATGTCTGAATTACTTCTTGCTTAAATTAATTGTATTAGCATTTTGTTAATGTCAGTGAAGAGCTCCCAGTAGGGGGCACTCAAGACTAATGGGTTGCATAGTTCCTTATTTTGTTGTTGTTTTGTTTTTGAAATGGAGTTTCACTCTGTTGCCCAGGCTGGAATACAGTGGTATGATCTCGGCTCACTGCAACTGGGAGGCAGAGGGCCTCCCAGGTTCAAGCAATTCTCCTGCCTCAGTCTCCCGAGTAACTGGGACTACAGGTGAAAGCCACCACGCCCAGCTAATTTTTTGTATTTTAGTAGAGACAGGGTTTCACCGTGTTGCCCAGGCTGGTCTTCAACTCCTGAGCTCAGGCAATCCGTTTGTTTCAGCCTCCCAAAGCATTGGGATTACAGATGTGAGCTACTGCACCTGGATCCTTATGTTATTATTTTAACAGAAATAGCTTCATCTTTTCTGACTAAAAAAGCAATCCAAATAGTAACATCAAATAGTAGGTAGTGTTTAAGAAGAGTGCTGTAAATATAAATGTTCTAACGTGGAAGAAGATACATACGGATATATTATTGAGTGAGAAAATTTAAGTTATATATAAAATATATTTAGTGTAATCCCACATTAGAGAAAACTTGAAATTATATGTATGCATTTATATTTGTATATATAAAGAGAAATATCTGAAAGGACCAAAACATTAACAGTAGCTACTTCTTTTTTATTTTTTTGGATACGCAATCTTACTGGAGTGCAGTGGCACAATCAAGGCTCACTGTAGCATCAACATCCCAGGCTCAAGTGACCCTCGCACGTCAGCCTCCCTAGTAGCTGAAACTACAGGCGCATGTCACCATGCCTGCCTAATTTTTTTTTTTTTAATAGAGATAGGGTTTCATTATGTCTCCCAGCTGGTCATTAACTCTTGGGCTCAAGTGATCATCTGCATACCTTAGCCAAAGTGCTTGGATTACATGCATGAGCCACTGTGCCCGGCTTTGGTTACTTCTAAGGATAGGATTTTGTGGGGTCAGAGACACACTTTCTCCCTCTTTATAAATTCTTTGCTTGAAGGTTCTTTCCCCCCCAGTTAGCATATATATATAACGTGTATGGCTTTTGATAATGTGTTTTATAATTTTAAGGCCAGATGTGGTAGCTCACACCTATAGTCCCAGCTCTTTTGGAAGGCCAAAGTGGGAAGATCGCTTGAAGCCAGGAGTTTGAAACCAGCCTGGACGACAAAGCCTGACCCCATCTCTTA